AGGGCCATGATGGTCCTGAAATTGTCACCGGTAAAATGTCCCTAGGGTGGGGCCAATGTCAACCCAGGGGCTTTTATTTGAACAAACTTGGTAGACACCCATTTGAAGATGTTTCATGATAAATATATAAGTTTTAAAGCTCAAAGAAAAGCTTTATGTTTTAATATAACTGTCACGGTTCCTATACAACATATAAGGGAAAAAAAATAGCCGTTCTCCCTGGGCGAGGCCAATTTTGTCCCCAAGGCTTTTTATTTTGAACAAACTTGGTAGACACTCTGTAAAGATAATTCATGCTTAAATATAAACTCTAGCTCTTGGGTTTTTTCACAGAATTTTTTTTAAGTTTTTATCTACGGTATATACAAATAAAGAAAATCAATAATTTCTGCAACATGGGGCCAATTTTAACCCCAGGGTTCTTAATTCAACAAAAATAGTAGACACCCATCAGAGATTTTGATTTTTCATGCTAAATATCTATAGCTCTAAAGGTTTTAAAAAGAAGATTTTTTAAGTTTTTAATATGTAAATAAGGGAAAAACAATGACCCCCTAAGGCTGAGCCAATTTTGACATCAGGGCTTTTATTTGAACAAACTTGGTAGACAACCATTAGAAGATGTTTCTCGGCTTAAATAGCTAAGCCATAGCTATTTGGGTTTTTTAAAAGAAGATTTTCAAGTTTTTACTATATAAAAAATATGGAAATCAATGACCCCCCGGGGCGTGGCCAATTTTGACCCCAGGACATTTATTTGAACAAACTTAAAAGACACTGACTAGTTAATGTTTGGTGCCAAATAGTTAAGTTCTAGCTGTTTATGATTTTCTAAAAAGAAGATATTTTAGTTTGTTCTTTAGGGTTGCCATGGCAACCATAGTTCTGCTTGGAATTAAAATTTCTTTGACAATCTTTAAAGTTGTCTACCAAAGGAACATTGCAGTGAAGTTTGGATGAAATTGGCTTAGCAGTTTATGAGGAAATGTTGTTTAAAGTAAAACTTTAAGGACAAATGGACACCGGACGAAAAACCATCACTAAAGCTCAACATGTCATTTTGTGACAGGTGAGCTAAAAAGGCAATAATCAATAATTTTGCAAGTGGGAATTCAAAAGTAATTACAGTTTAAATAGATAAGAACACAAAAAATTATGCGAACAACATTGAAAAAAATAGAAACTACAATTAAAACATAATATTATCAAACTAAACACTGCAATGGTTTTCTATCATTATGTGTTTGAAACAGTATAAAGACAACATAGAAAATATACCATATATTTATACTGTATACATCTGTGAACATTTTTAGGTATGAATTGAATATATACGAAATTAGAAAGTAGATAAAGTAAAGCATTATTTATAAAACAGTTTACACACGTAATACGAATTACTTTTGTTGAGAAAAAAATTATGAACATGTAAACAAAGGATTTCAGGCAAATTTAATTTGGAGAAGCTATGTTTGAAACATAAAAGTTGTTAAATTTAACCCAAGAAAAACTTGTATGAGAAAGTACTACTTGCTGTTTAAACTACTGAAATGACGATGGAATTGTGTTTAAAACATTTCCAAGAGTAGTTTTGTTTAGTTCAAAAATACAATAATAAAATTAAAAACATGTGTCAGTTAAGTAAGACTGTAATTGCATGTACAGTGTAACATGTGTGAAAAGCAACAGACCAATCTTGTGCACAATACAAATACTTTTCCATAAACAACAAATAAAGTAAGGAAAAAGCTGATTAAAAAAATCTGTAACAACATATTTACAATCTCAGTGGTAAAAAAATAACATATAAGAATAAATCAAAACTGATTAAAAGCCACATAAATTTTGTTTTCAACTTGTTAAGAAAATATATATTGATATAGTCACACAGATTAAGTGGGAAAAACTGTATCATTCTGTTTTTTAAGACATTAATTTTTTTAAATGGAAAGAGTAAAAAATAGGTTTGTATAGAAATTATTCCAATTAATGACTGCAAAATTGAATGATTAGGCAAATGCAATGACTTGCTCATGAAGTAGGTTTTTAAAAAATTCTGTGAATTCTTAATTTAACAGTAAGAACATAAAATAATAATCTAAACCATCATAATGTCTTTGAATCAATATAATCTAAACGATCATAATCTCTTTGCATCAAATATAAAGACAACATTAACTAGAACAATTTTTAATATAAAACAAGGCACTGAAGGTTTAAAAAATTCGTATACAAAATATTCATAACATACACAACAAGAGGGCCATGATGGCCCTGAGGTCGCTCACCTGTATATAGCCCCCCCCCCCAATGTTGCAGGGCCAATTTAACCCAAGGGCTTTTATTTGCACAAACTTGGTAGAACACCCATAAGAAGATGTTTTATGCTAAACATCTAAGCTCTAGCTAATTGGGCTTTTTAAAAAGAAGATTTTTTTTTAAAGTTTTTACTATACACATATAGTTAAAAACAATGACACCCCTGGGGCCGGGCCAGTTTTGACCCCAGGGCTTTTATTTGAACAAACTTTGTAGACACTTACTAGAAGATGTTTCATGCTTAATATCTAAACTCTAGCTATTCGGGTTTTTTTTCAAAGAAGATTTTAAGTCTTTGCTATACACATATAAAGAAAATCAATGACCCCCGGGACGGGGCCAATTTTGACCCCAGGTCTTTTATTTGAACAAACTTTGTAGACACTCACTAAAAGATGTTTCATGCTTAATATCTTAACTCTAGCTATTTGGGTTTTTCAAAAAAGATTTTTTAAGTTTTTTGCTATACACATATAAGGAAAATCAATGACCCCTGGGGGCGGTGCCAATTTTGACCCCAGGGCTTTTATTTGAACAAACTTGGTAGACACCTATTAGAACATGTTTGATGCTAAATATCTTAGCCATAGCTCTTTGAGTTCTTTAAAAGAAGATTTTTTTAAGTTTTTACTATATGCATATAGGGAAAATCAATGACCCCCCGGGGCGGGGCCAATTTTGACCCCAGGGCTTTTATTTGAACAAACTTGGTAGACACTTATTAGATCATGTTTCATGCTAAAATATCTTAGCTCTAACTCTTTTTGGTTTTTTAAAAGAAGATTTTTTAAATTTTTACTATATGCATATAGGGAAAATCAATGACCCCCCTGGGGCGGGGCCAATTTTGACCCTAGGGCTTTTTATTTGAACAAACTTGGTAGACACCTATTAGAACATGTTTGATGCTCAATATCTTAGCCATAGCTCTTTGAGTTCTTTAAAAGAAAATTTTTTAACTTTTTACTATATGCATATAGGGAAAATCAATGACCCCCCGGGGCGGGGCCAATTTTGACCCCAGGGCTTTTATTTGAACAAACTTGGTAGACACCCATTAGAACATGTTTCATGCTAAATATCTTAGCTCTTACTCTTTTGGTTCTTTAAAAGAAGATTTTTTAAGTTTTTACTATATGCATATAGGGAAAATCAATGACCCCCTGGGGCGGGGCCAATTTTGACCCCAGGGCTTTTTATTTGAACAAACTTGGTAGACACCTATTAGAACATGTTTGATGCTCAATATCTTAGCCATAGCTCTTTGAGTTCTTTAAAAGAAGATTTTTTAACTTTTTACTATATGCATATAGGGAAAATCAATGACCCCCCGGGGCGGGGCCAATTTTGACCCCAGGGCTTTTATTTGAACAAACTTGGTAGAAACCCATTAGAACATGTTTCATGCTAAATATCTTAGCTCTAGCTCTTTGGGTTCTTTAAAAGAAGATTTTTTAAGTTTTTACTATATGCATATAGGGAAAATCAATGATCCCCCGGGGCGGGGCCAATTTTGACCCCAGGGCTTTTATTTGAACAAACTTGGTAGACACTCACTAGAAGAATGTTTCATGCCAAAAATATAAGCTCTAGCTCTTATGGTTTTTTAAAAGAAGATATTTTAAAGTTTTTTCTTTCGGTTGCCATGGCAACCAGAGTTCTGCATGGAATTAAATTCTTTGAACAATTTTAAAAGGTGACCACCAAAGGAACATTCCTGTGAAGTTTGGATGAAATTGGCTTAGTGGTTTATGAGGAGATGTCATTTAAAGTAAAAGTTTACGGACGGACGGACGGACGGACGACGGACGGACGGACGCCGGACGAAAAGCGATCACAAAAGCTCACCCTGTCACTTTGTGACAGGTGAGCTAAAAATGGACAAGTGCAATGCTATATGCTTGTCACTTCATAAGGCATAAAAAATAAACTATATATTGAAACTATATACAGTTGTAATCATCTTGACTACTTGACTAGAAAATATCAAAAGCCTTTACAAAAGAAAGTGTTAAAAAAAAAGGATAAGACTACTGAAGTTTTGTTTTTCAAAAATGAAAAGAAAGTCTTCTCTACAATATCAATATTCTCTATATAACATGAAATAACAAACAGAATGGACAAAAATAAACACACAAATAAACTGTGAAATATCAACAATATAGTCACAACATCATAGGTGAATATAAAAACAATATCAAATATGAGCTATAATCAAAAACCATATACATCTTTAATTTTGAGGGAATGTTAGAAATATAATACACACATAAAGATAGATGGGACTATATGAGTTTGAAAAAATGTTCTTAAAAGGCATTTCTTACAGGAAATTATTGTAATAATTTTCTTTAAAATGAAGTCATATTTATGCATGGCACTGAAAACATTAATGCTTGCTTGGCATATAGATGTAAGTTAACATGTTTGTATGTTCAAACAATTGTGAAGTAAAATATTACATGGTGCAATAATAAGAAAACTGGTATGTAGAATATATTATGAAATAAAGCATTGTAATGAGCATTGTAATGAATTAATACACAATATAGAATGTTCAATATAAAATTTGCTTTTATGTTTAGAAAAATGACATTACAAATCTTCAAAATTGTGTTAAAAAGACAAAGGATCCATGTCATAATAGTTATAATCTCAGCTGAGTTTTAGGCAGTAATTTTTTAGCCTATTTATGTAAGATTTCTCAAAAATAAGCAAATTTATATGAATAAACAATGATCATTAAACATTTGAACTTCAATTTTAGATTACTTTAGATAAAGGAAAAAGTATAATTTGTTCTGAAATTCAACTGACACTGAAAATGTATTGTTAGCAATAAGTATGGTTTACAGTGTTCTATTCAACTATTTTCCTGAGGTTGATAGCTTTCCATTCAAGATGTTGCCCTTCACCTGACAAGGTAGTCTGTATACTAGAGTGGACATGAGATCAACATGTGTTGTGTCTTCAGCTACATCTATTTGACCAAAGAGATTGACAATGTCTTTCTCAAACACTACTCCATATAAGATTTGCCCATCTTCTTTCATGAGCTCCAATTTTACTCTGTATGTTAGTAAACTGGTGGTACCACTGCATGTGGGACAGACACCGTCTGCCATTTTCTTCTTGTGACAACCTATGACAAATAGAGTGTAATAAATGTAAGGAAAATTCTCAAATTTTAACTGATAAGAGGAACATATAAACAAAACCCATAGCAGGATGAGGGCAACACTTGACCTTTTAATTATGATTTATTATGAAAATAAACCATTATTTTTTAATACAAAATATTAGTGATAATCAGTGAAAATGAAATAATCTGACTTCAATGTCAAGGTCATACATGAATAAAGGTCAATTTAGTTTTGATGTACCTGAAGGTCCTGACCTAAATCATGAGTCTTGAAGTAATATACAAATATGAAAAAATGAACAAATATTGGACATAAAAATCATATACATTTTAAAAGGAATATCCATCAATGGTATGATGTTGAACAGAAAATATTTTAATTACCATCATAATCACATCCATGATAAATAGATGCATCTTCTATTCCCGAGACAGTAAATTTGGTATCTCCTTGTTGGTGACCACTGCCACCAAAATCAGTGAGACCTTCAAAATACTTCACATCTTCTTCCGTTACGTTACTTTTGACTGCATCATCACTAACAAACTGCAAAATAGAGTTTGTAAGTAGTTTTTGTATGAAGCAATACATACTTATGTTGAAGACAGACTGAATATATGTATACAGGAATGGTAACAATTTTGGATAATGATTGCCCAATAAAACTCAACTAATTACAATATGCATGAATATATAAACAGTGTATTATTGATATTCATTTGAAAACACAAGGGTAATAATTTTAAATATTTTAAAGAAATGAAATGATGTATTTGAAGAACAGATGTACTAACAAACATTTATATTGACATATTTATCTGACACCTGTAGGCCTATCCTACGTAATAATAGTATAATAGTCAACCCTAGATTGGTTTGAACTACGAACTGCACAGGCCCTCTGAGTTCATGCGAATGAATTTCCATTGTATTGATAAATATTACTGAATGTACATTTCATGCTTATGAAGGGACATAATTACAAGTTTATTTTTATTAATTTTAAGCAAATTTTGTCAATAAGAATTAAATGCATAGATTTTAATGTTTACATTTAAGTTTACATGTATATTTATAACATAGAATTATAACTGGTTGAACTTGTTTAAAAAAAATTTTGGTAGACAAATTAATATAACAATTCTATTCATTTGAAGTTTAGACTATACCTTGAATAATTTTCAAGTTATGTTTAAGATAAAAAAAATCAAAACCAATAAACTGAAACATCGCAAGGCTTATTTTATGAAAATATTCATGAATTTGAAACAACTAGATATAAATCATATTTATGTACCTGGCATTTTGTTACAGTAGAAGTAACTAGTTGGTCTTCACCTTGCCATGTTTTTTTGTACACACCACTTATCTCGACACAACTGTGTTTTCAACAAATTGTTGTTGTGCTTGTTGAGAGAACAAAGCTACTTTTGTTCGGCCTGAGTGATCGATTAAGCCAAGACACCTGACTGGTAGAGTTCCATCTCTTTTAAGTGTTACATCTGAAACCTGGAAAAGAACTTATTATGTTGTCACAATGACAAATGTACAGCATGTAGTCTCACTGGAATGAAAATGTCCATTGCAGCAATAAAAAGTGAAAATAAATAGAACTTTTAGCTAGTTAGTAAACACACTCACACATATCTCTAATTGTATGCTCTCTAATTTTGTGTTTAGAGTTTTTAAATCAAGATGGTATTCAATAAGAAAGATTGTTTTTTTTAAAAGATATCAAGCGCATAACAATGGTTTGTTTATAGTTTTTGAAACTTCTGGTAAGTAAGTAAACCTGCAAACATTTTTATCAGGAAATTTCCTGAAAGTCTACTGATAAAATGAAATCACACATACTTTTGCAATCTTAGCACAGATTGTGCTTTTTTCTGGAGATGTCAATGCATCTGAAATACTTCTTTTTTGACCAGTTGCAGGCACATCTTCTGGTAAAGGAGGAATTGTTTGAACTGGCACAATTTACAGGTGGAACTATTGTTACTGAGCTGGTCTGTACAACCCAACATCCATCTGTTTTTTGGATAACATTGGAAAACCTAAATAAAGAAAAAAAAACAGTTAATAATTTTATGATGTATTAAGTAGGAATACTAGTGGAAAATATAATAAGCCATTTTTTTGTTTAAAACATGTATCAAGTTCGCAAGGTCGCCAATTTGTAAATATTAGAGAAATAAAACAATTGCCTGGAAAAAGCAGTTCTACAGTAACAACACTGTGTTCTTTCTGTAAATAAATAAAACCAACTGAAAATTGGAAGTTTATACTCACTTGTAGGACAAGCCTTCCCTGATCATGTTGAACTTGTGCCTTAAGTAGCATCTTATAATTGTGATATTATCAGCATTTCCAGTAACCATGTTAAAGTAAGTCATTTTACCATTTTTGCCCTCATACGTCAGGAAGTTTTTTTGACTTTTTTAGGACTTTCCCGGTCACAGTGCACTTTTCATCAGACTGGTAAAGGAAATTCAGGAAAATGCATCAAGGATGTGAATAAGTTTTTTGTGTATAATTATTTTTTGTTTACATTTTAAGGTAATGAAAATGAAATGCCTAAAAATGTAAAGTTCAATATTTTAGATTTGACATACTAGCTGTTGTAACATTATAAGTTTTTTTTTGTATTAAGAAAACTGAAGTACATCTTTTAATATGTTATTACAAGTAAAAATGCCCCACTATTTTTCTAAAATTGTAAATTATTAAAAAATGGTGTTGTTTTTCTTGTTTTTGATGTTTTTTTTTTTACTGAACAATCAAGGCAATCGATAATGGTAAAATTGAAGTGTCATCTTATTTAATTTTAGCAGCTACAAATTAACAATGATGCACATTTCCATATTAAATCAAAAGTATTTAAATCTTCTATTGTGAGATGTTAGAACACCTTTTTTATAAAATGAAAAACATGAAAGTTTTTAACATATTTGAATAAAACAAAAAACTAACTGAATAGAAAATACTTTTTATAAAAAAAAAAGCAGATATAGTGACTGTAAATGACCAGTACCATTCTTTTTAAAAAAAAACAATCAGGGAAATAGAAAATAATATTATATTCAGTTATGAAAATTTACATTGTAGGACTTTAATTGTGAGGTAATATACTGGCCCAAAACTGCATGTCAGATTATGAACATTTTTGAGTGATAAAAATTAATGATGATATATACAGTGTTTTTTTCAGTATATAACTACTACCCTAAAACAGTACTGTTCCCAATAGAAAATAGACCTGAAAATTCCCAACTTCTATGTTTTAATTCCCAAAATGGCTGATCAAAATTCCCACAAGGCCAAGTGATTTCTCTGAAATCATTTAAATTCAACATATTCATATAAATCACCACTCAATAGTTCTACTTGGACAATGGAAGCTGTTAGATATCTTTATTGATGATAACTAATTTTATTTTTAGCTGAAAAATGCATAAATTTTTCTTTGCCAATTTAAATCAAAATAACGCATTTTTTCCCAATTAGTCTAGTACCAACACCATTCCCAAACTTGAGAAAAAACTCTGATACATGTGTTGAGAATTTATTTTATATAACAAGTTGTTTATAGGAAACTATTTGTCATAAAGCTGTTCAAATTCTAGGAGTAATAAAATTGAACACACTATTATTGTAATAACACAGATAAAAAGTTTAAGTTTTTTCTTTAATATCAAGTCCAATTGCAAATTAGAGAATCAATCTTTATTGATCAATGAAGATTTCTTAGCCTTTCATACTCTTCCAAAACACCAGCTGGAGGCTGAACAGCATGTGGAGAAAATTTTAGTAAATACAATCCAGACAAAGATGTAACTCGACTCAAAGCAACATAACTCATCCCACGTTCAAACACAGATTCTCCTAAATCAATGACAACTTTATTTAAAGACAAACCTTGCACTTTATGTATTGTACAAGCCCATGATAACATTAATGGAAACTGAGACCTTACAACATGCCTTCCATCCATGATTAAGGAATACTCAACTCGATCAATACTAATGAAATCACAACCACTTGTTTTTAACACTTGTCCAACTGAAAGGTCATCAAACATCACATTCACAGATTCAATAATACCAGAGCTTGTATATGAGAAAGAATGAATATTTCCAATAGCACCATTGACTAATCCATGATTAGTATGTATATTTCTTATAAGCATTACTCTACCACCAACACATAAATTTAGTTCAACTGACAATCCACCAGCATCACGTTCATTCAAATGAACACAACTGCTTGGAACATCTGAACCCGCATCTTTATCATTATGACCAAAATAATGGTAAGCAGGCAAAGAAACTTTTTCGCAGTCTAACATAGCAAGCCGAGCAGAATTGAATGCTGCAACATCAGCTCGTAATGCAAATAAATGCATAATATTATTAATTTCACTGGAGTCAAAGTTTAATCTATTGACCAATAATGCAACATCTGTTTTAGTAAGGAAACCTACTCTAGCTCTATTTAATAAAGAAGCATAACATGCATCATTCACCTGCCTCATGTTTTGTTCTAAAAAGATTGGTGTAAACAAATGCCAGAGTAAAATATTTTTAAATGCAAATCGCCCTGAAACTGGTCTCAACTGGAAGAAATCACCAAAAACTATTACATTTAACCCACCAAATGCCCTTTCATCATCTTTAATTTCTGAAAGCCTCCTACTTATGTAAGTCAACATAGAAGAACTTACCATACTAATTTCATCAACAATAATTGTTGAAACACATTGAAATTGTCTTTGCAATTTTGCTAGAAGGAAATCAGAAAGGGGATCATACTCTAAATATTGCTTGACTGGTATTTTTAACAAACTGTGTATTGTTATACCATTGACATTCTTGGCAGCAGTTCCTGTAGGAGCACAAACAACAACAGGAGATGTTCCTGCTTGTATAGCAGCAAAATGCTGTAAGTGTGCAACAATCAATTGCAGAAGGAAAGATTTACCAGTTCCAGCACCACCGGAAATGAAAAAATGAAAAGGTTGCGAAGAATCATTTGTGCCAAGCCTACATTTAATTTGTGTCAAGGCATTATTCTGACTCTTTGAAAGTGTACAACATTTTCTGTAATATTCATCAACAGACATATCACAACACTCTAATGTATGTAATTCACTAATAATACTACTGTCTTGAACAAAATCACTGTATGTAGGAACATCATCTGTATGTTCTGAAGGATTTTCCAACTGAATTGAAGTAACAGGTACATCATCATTGTCTGTAACAGTTTCTAGTAACAAGTCTTCATCTGCAGGAGCAAGTTCTTGCTCACAAAGGCGAATACGCCTTACTGCATTTTCAATCTCAGATGCAAGTGTAAAATACTGATAATTAATACTCTTATCAAACTGTATTTGTTTCTGTTCAAAAGAAATGCGCGCAGACTCACAATTACCAAGCAAATCGGCCTCTGATCTATGAGGAAATAGTAACAAAAGCATGCTGTAATAATAATCCTCAGAGCCAAATGGAAATTTGGTATATCTGACAACACAAAATTTTTTCCTTTTCTGAAACCAAACATCATATGTTGGACAACAAATTTGGCCTTGAACCTTCTGAGGTTTACTGACCTTTCTGAACCATGAAGCAAAGTTTAACAAGCTGTGCTCATTTAAAGCCAATGGTCGATCTCGGTAATAGTCTAAAATGTTATTTTGAAACACATTTGTGTCATTATCAGGCAAGTCAGCCAATTCTGAAGCAGTTCGTAGAATTTTCAACCTTTTATTTGGTGGCCATGTATTAAGGTACATAAATTCTCTAGATGCATGCAAAAGCTGTAATGAACCCATTCGAAAAGCAGCCTCTTGTGCACTCATTCTTCTGTGTTTCAATACACATAGTCCAATTTTCATTAGACGAACATTTCTTGGCATAGACATATTTGCATTCAAAACATTGCAAATCAAATCACCAAGAGCATTTTTTAGATCATCAGGCTCGGATTTGCATATATACGAACAAACATAGTAAGCTGCTCCTTCTGCATTCTGTATATATTGCAAATCCATATTTGCTCGCCAGTGACGCAAAATAACACCATTGTAATCATTTACAAACCTACTATTGAAGTTCCGAGCTGTTATATAAAACCTACCTTTGTTTTTTGCTTGTACTTGCATGTTTCGCAGGAGTTTGGTATTTGTTGATACTTGTCTAGGAAAACCAAACCGACATGACCTTTTTTTACAACAGTAAGAGGTATGATGATGAATTTGAAGTCTATTTACAAGAGCATGAAGTTCAGGGTCAACAGTTTCATTAGGAATGTTAGAACATATTGTGCTATTAATGTATTTCAAGGCAGTAGCAGCTGTAGCATTGTCAATTTCTTTCGGAACATCTGCAACCCACAGAAACATGTGAATATGCGGGCTTCCTCTGTTCTGAAATTCCACCCTAGCAAAATAATCAATTACTTTACCCAAAGGTTGAGATTCACTTAAAATAACATTCTTCATTAGAGATCGAAAACGCCGTTCAAAATGTATAGCTGCTAACAAAGGATCTTTTCGTAAACTGTCAAAGAAAGATCTACCAAATGCAGATTTGAACTCCAAGTTTTCCAAAGTCATGCCAAGTTCTGGCCAATGATTATCATCGGCTGATAGTGTCATGAACAATGTGGGTGGGCCTAAACATCTAAAAAGAAGACAGTAAGTCATATAACATGTTTCTGAAGTATGCAACAGTGCCCTTAATTTTCTTCATAAACATGTAAGAGTTTTCCAACAAATCATTATTCACATGAATGTTCCGAATACACCCTGCAGAAACAGGTTCCATTTGACCATTGTTTGCATGTGTGATTTTCATTTTTATGCTGACAGCTGATTTCAAACATGACAGATCATATGACACAGCAGTATGCAATAAATATGTAATATTTTTGCGAAACAAAGAATTGTAATCATACAACCTGCTTTTAAAGTACATTTTAGGAAAGATTTTAAACAAACGCTTTTGTTTAAAGCCATTACATCCTAAAGGAAATAACCAAGGAAATGCTAACTCTTCACCATTCTCTATATCAAGAATGTTGACTGGTTTATGAGGGTTTCTTGGTATATGCAGACCATTTTCAAGAAAACACAAATTTGATGGGTTGACAGAGACAAGAACATCTTCATCAAAAGAATCATAATTAAATGTACTTTGTCTTTCACTTTCTAAATGTGAAGTACAACTTTCTTCTGTGGTAAAGTTTCCATCAAAAGTCAAGTTTCGATACAAGGCATTATGCTCCTTTAACCAAAGCAATGCTTTATGTACTTTCTGCATTGACACACCATTTTTATCATTTTCTCTTGCACAGCTTTTGTCAGAATCAAAATGAACCACAACAAATGGCAAGTTTTTAAAAGATAATGGCATCTTTGTAATCTCTTCAAGAGTGTTTGAAGGCAGATTAAGAACTAAACCTCTTTCAGCGTATTGACCTCCAGGCAACATTACTACTGTCATGAAATATATTATTTTTGCAATAAGCCTTTTTCCAAACTAGACAAATTGTTTAAGCAATCTGGTATATTTCCTGGAAACATCAAATTCTTAAAGTAAGACAAAGCTGGTTTTACACCATGTCGAATATTTGTATGACAGGTCTTACAAACATCACAAGGTGCATCAACACCTAAACTATTTAAACAGTCATTGGTTGTCTTTAATCGTTTGGTTTGATTTGGGAACAAGAATCGATGACACACTGAGCAATGCTTATTTGGCTGTAAACGAATAAACTCTTCATATGCTTTAATATGTCCAGTTTGTTTCAAATAATCTAACAAAAACATATTTGACTGCACATCACAAACACTGCCAACATCTAACATACTATCAAGATCTAATGTGACATTTACATATTCATTAGTTACTGAACAATTCAGGACACCTTTTGTAAGGACTGGAATTTTTTTCCTACACTTTCCTTTTTTGTATGTTGAAACTTTTGAACTACATCCTGCATAAGAATGATCCGAACCAACAAACTGAGCAGACCTATTTGTGTAAATAGGATCTGTATTCTTTCTGGCATTTTGATTGACTGTTTTCATCCCCACAGATTGTTCATTTTTCTGCTTGTTAGAAACAGCAGAGGGTTCACTATTCTGGAAATCATGGGGAATCAAATTCTCATTAATATTTGGAATATCTATAAAAACTTGGTGTCAAATCAAAAAACTCGCACCTGAATATTGGGTAAACAAAAACAACAAAAGCTCATCTAAAGTTTCAAAGCGTAATACAACAGCGGCACCATTATCTGAATAGCTACCGCTAATATCACGTTCATGGGAGTCAAACACATAAAAAACTACTTGACATTGGAGATAAATATAATGCTACTGTTAATTGATCTATTGTCAACAAATGATAGGGGTCAATCTACTACTTTGTTCAATTGCTTCAAAAAAACTTGTCTGACCCACCAGTGTGTTCACATTTCTATCAATAACCCCATAATACACATCATGTAAAAACTGCAAACGAAAGTTTCTATTATTAAATGTCACAGTACTTGGCAAATCAACATGACTAAGATACCTAATCATACCAGGTTTTCACTCAATTCACCATAAAATCGATTTCCTTGAAACAAAATAGAATCAACTTCTTGCGGCGAAAATTCGGGGCGATTTAAATGTCCACGGCTAAAAAATGTCAGTAGTGCAATCAGAGCCATAGCCGTGCATTGCATGCCGCTAAATGGACTAAAAATATGGCAGCCTTGATGCATATTTCCTAAAAAACCTCTTACCATCTTGACTGCCAGCTGCTGCAACTCCGAGAAATGGCGGGATATCGACGTCACGTGACCTAATTATCATAAAATAGACTGATTCTAATCTAATTGCGCAATTAATTTACCGAAAAGTACCTACGGAAAAAATACCGAAAAGAACCAACGGAAAAACAATTTAGTTCTTACTGATTTTCTCTAGTCTTTCATTACCCTGACATCCGGAAGCAAGACGCCAACAACGAAGAGCGCGATTAATTGAGCGAAAAAAAGGCA